TTTAGGTATGTTCTTCAAAGAATTATTTATTTATGTTTATGTTAAGGATTCAATTGAGCTGCCTTTACATAAAGCCCAAATAAGAGTGATATAATTTTTCTTTCACATAAGAACAACCTGGGCTGCTTTAGACATTCCCTTTCTCCCTCCTTGAAACATGAACTCATCTCCCTACTCACAAAGTAGCTACAGAACCCCCATCAATCAGAGAAGAAAGAAAGTGCAAAAGGCCAAAATCACTTTCTCAGAAGTCCACAGAGCGATTTGTGCTTCTATCTCCAGGGCCAAGACCATGTGGCAAGGACCCTCCAGCTGTAGAGGAAGCTCCTTAGTTGAATCTTGGCTGCACTAAATGAGATTAGTGCTCTAATAGTAAGAAAGAGAGAAAGGACATTGGGTAGACCATCTGAACATTAGAATAATATTATTTGCTCATTTTTTCCATTGAGTTGTCTTCTTATTATGAATTAATAAAATATCTTTCTCTATGTAGGTATTAATTCTGTACTTGTCACCTGTTTTGCATACATTTCCTTTATACCTGTCTTGTCTACTGACTTATATACTCATTCAAGAATTATTCAGCAAGTCTCTTCTATGTGCTAGGCATTGCTCTATTCTGGGGACTAGGAATACAATGGAAAATAGAACCAATGAAAATTCTTGGTGCATAGATATGGTGGAAAAATATAGGAAAAAAGTAAAATGCAGAGTATGTTAAGTAGTAATGACTGATGAAAAATAAATCAAGAAAGGAGAGCAGAGAGCAGAGATATAATTCAGTGGTCAAGTCCAGTTACGGAAAGAATGACATTTTAGAAGAACCTGAAGAGATGAGGGAATATTTGAGTCATCAAAGTACCACAGGAAGAGATTTCTAGGAAGAGGGTTTTGGACAGCAAAGAGAGTAATAGGAGATATATTCCAATAGGTAAAAATAAATTCAGTAAGAGTGTTGAATGAAAGCTTATATAGCAATGAATTTTATTTTTACTCTTATTGATATGGACACCCATTGGAGTTGTTAAATGGCCTGAAATAAGTTTTACTTACTTGTACTTATGAGGATTACAAGGTTTTTATTTATAAGGATTACTCTGATTTATTTGTTGAGAACAAACTATAGTAAAAATACAGAGATGTTTATCATGACCAATCTGTTCTCTCTATCCCTAATCTAATATAGTGGTCACCATATCATGAGCATGGTCCTGTGTAAACACACATACACACAGATATACATACATGTACCTGAAAAAAGGTTTTACAAATAATATCTTTATTGTAGAAAATTCTTCTTAGTCTAAGCTATCTCTTTATCTAAAATGGCTGGCTATTCTTCCTTAAATTTACCACATAAAATACTCATGATTGCGATCCACAGTTTGAAAAAGCCACCAGTTTAGTATGCTTTTTAGTTTTGAGATAGAATTAAATAATAATAGCTAATGTATTTCAAAACATAAGAACAAGAAACTGTGCCAAGTACTTTACCTGGTTTATTTCATCGAATTGTTAAGATAACCCTAAAAGTTAAGTGCTACTCCAGATTATAGAGGACAACATTGAGTAGAACTGTTCGTTGGTTTGCTACAGTTCTGTACACACAATATAGCCATATCATTCTACATGCGGTGCTGATAATTGCTATACCCTATTATCTCCTACCTCACCTCTGAAAACAGAGTAAATGTATCTTGAAAAATCACAATTCCAATATGTGTGGTTTACTAGGCCTTATTAAGGCTCTTTTTTTCCCATGCTCCCACCATCTCCATAACCTTTCTAGCAATTATACCACTTAGGAGGAGCTGCCTGCTCCCTTGTGGTGCTTGTGATTCTCTTTTAGTATTGCCTGTTCTATATTTCTTCAGACATTAACTAGTGTCTTTTGTTTTCCTGTATGATCTGCTACCTCAAGAGGATACTGAATTCTTACCTTTTCTCATGACCTTTCTGATAAATTCCTGATGCTAATTGGCTAATTATTTCCTATTCAGTATTTCCAATTCAGTTTCCTGTAAAAAGGAATCTGATTGCTTCAATTCCTCTTCTCACAGCTAGCAGTGACATCGATTTTTGTTTATTCCTGCAGCCAGACAAACGTTCATCGTGCATTATGATTGTTGCAACACTTACCACACATGTGATCTCCTACCTACATTTTTCTCTCCCTTATTAGCTTGTAAACTGTGCCAAAGCAATAGGTACTCGTTGTACTTGATTAAAAGGGTAGAAACATTTATAGTGGACATGAATTTAAAGGAGTGAACTTTTTGATAAACCATAACTAGGAGAAGAGAGAGAAGTATAATGAAGTCATAGAAAATTTAGGGGAAAAAAAAGCAATAGAGAAGCTATATAGATATTTTTCAACCTCTAATAACAAGAAAGTCTCCAGAAAGAGCACATAAAAGTTAAGGTCATGTAAGTAGCCCTAACCAGAGATCTTACACATGACCTCAACCCTCTTTAAGAATAAGAAAGGAAAGTTGGGGGCAAAGGAGTTTTGTCCAAGCAATAGCATAGAGTGAATAATGGAGAACTGTATTTTCCCTAAGCTCAAACTGCAAAAAAACAAGTATTAGATGAATTCAATATTCTGGAAACACTCAGAAAAGCAACATTCATCAATTTGAACAGCACTTTTAAGATAATTAATAAATTTTGAGTCAAATGCTCATTTTCACATCGTTGTCTGATTTGAGTTACAAAAGTCTAGGAAACATGGTGCGCTCTGGGGAAGACAAACGGTTAAAATGTAAATCATGTACCAGACTGTTAAAAAGTTGACTCTCCTGGCCCAACCTCACATCTTAAATAAGAACTTCCAAGACCTAGGGAAGTTTAATGGGATAAAATGGGACTGTGGCTGCCCTGTATCTTACTTATGCACTCTTTGAAGTTCAAGCAAAGGTGAGGCCTGCTGTGTAAAAAGTTCAAACCAAGAATTATAGAAGGAAACCATTGCTGTTGCCACCTGTTCTGACTAGTATGAAAAAAAAAATCAAACTGATTTTATAGAACTAAATTTCAGATGATACTGACTGTAATCTAATATAACTCACTATATTTGTTTTTTTCTGATATTACAGGATAATATAATATTCCATTGCAATATTATTAGATTAAATCTGCTTCTCATTGAATCAATCACCTAGAAAAATGTGTAATGGAAATATAAAAAGCATAAATTTAGGAAACATTTTGACTGTTCCTTTTTTGTTAAAAAAAAATCAAATGACTTTCCTTTATACATCCTGATTTTTTGCCCTAAATTTCTCATGAGTTTACATAAGAATAATTAAGTTAACTGAACATTTTAAAAAGCTTTATTCAGTAGGTCCCTTAATCATCTGTCAGTTCCTTGCTTGTTTTGCCTGTTTTCACATTTGCTTATTATGCAAATTTTGTCTGTTGAAGGCTATACAGGGTTTCCAAGGACAGAACTGCCCCTGTGTTGGTTTGTCTTATCACTATATTCTTTGCCATTCTGATTGTACTTCTGTTGAACAACTGCATGGGCTGACCTAAGAATCTCTTGTTTTTCCTACTCTTTTTATGAGCATAGAGTATTGGGAAATCCACATTTCTTATGTTTGAAACCTGTCAATTTTTCAGTATTTTTTATGATATATGTTTAAAACGTATATCAGATTTTTATGATTGATCATTGAATCCTCCTTCAGGATCTAATTGATCATTGGCTCGCCTTCAAAGTTCATTCAATGGCTCATAAGCTGATTCTCTAGAGGTTAATAAATATGATAGTGTAGTTCATATAAGGGCTTTTGTTTCATCTTGAATAAACTGCACTGGCCACATACTTTAATATAAATAGTGGAAAGTCAAATTTGCTAATTTCAAGTAAGAAATCCTAAAGTGTAACAATGCATAGTTTTCTTTTTCTAGAAGATAACGTTTCTTCCAAACCCTTCAGTTAGCTACCTTGAATTATATATATATAATTTATATATATATATATATATATATATATATATATATATATATATATATTTGATATGTGAAACTTGAAAGACTTACACTTTCTTTATAAGTAGAATATTCTATATCATCATTTCAAATTTAAAATTATCATTACACAATTCAGATGGAATGATAACTGTTTGGCATCAGGTCTTTTATTGCAACACAACCATCTACATAACCTAGGGTTGCTGAAGACTCCACTGGAAGCTCAGTTCAAGCTTCAGGTAAAGATTGGGAACAGCACTGAAGCCAAAATATGCTAATTAAAAGAGGTGGAGGCTCTGTGTGTGATGAAAGTATAAAACGTGCCCCAAGTCAAGAGCATTAAGAAGCACCCCATCTCTATCATGATAAGCATAAAGTAAAGAATAAAGGAAGATTAATGGATCAGTCTTCATTTTCAAAAACTCATTGCCTTGAGAGCAGTTATTAGGACTTGGGAATCCAAAGGAAATATATCCTACATTACTGCATATGATATAACATGGAAAAAATTTCGAATGGCCAAAAACATATTGGACATGCATTGTTAATTAGAGTTATACACAAGCATGACAAAGTTCTAGGGACCACAGTCACTGTTTTAAGTCACTGATTTTATGAGGTCTAAAAAGACTTAGAAAAGAGTTTTCAATGACAGGTTGAAAGAAGCCAAAGAGAAGAAAGAGAAGGAGGGCTTGCCATCTACAGAGATTAGGTGTCAAGAATTAGTTACCATGTTTGGAATGCTGCACACATTTGTTTGGCAAAAAATATAAAATGTCTCATAGAAGACGTCCACAACACAACAATAAGAAAAAAGTAAGGAGGTTTGAGTGGAAGCTACATTCCTATAGGGACATGAATTTTGGAATTGAAGAGACAAAAACAGGGCCTAGCACTCCATAAAAATATGTTCAATGGGTGGAGGAAAGAAACTAACATTGGTGAACTGCCTGCCACATGACAGGTACTGTATTGGATACATTCACCTGCGTTACCTGATTTTATTTTTCAATTCTAAAATTCAGGGATTATTCCATTGCTGCAGATGAGGAAATTGAAGAATAAGGAGGACAGACCCAAGACCAAAGACCTAGAAACTGAGAAAACAAGGATGTAAGTAAAGAGTTAACTAATGTCTTGTTCTTTTTTTAAATTAACACTTTAACTATATCTTCAAATCCTAATTTAAAGAAAATGGTTTCTGGTAGAAATGAAGGCAGCATGGTAGGTGGAACATGCCCTTCTGAAGAACTTACTCAAGAGCTGAATGGGCCTCCCCATTCCACTGTTCTCTATTCTCTGCCATCTGTAGATTGGACTTGCTGTTCTCCGTGGGCTGTGACCACAACTGGCCTTTTGCATGTTTATTTGCTTAGGAGAAGTCATTGTCTTGTGGTCACTGACCCAGCTCATTTGCAAATATTACAGAGAGTCTTTGAGGCATCTTCTTTAGGGTGGTCAGCCAGCAAGGCCAATTGTATCATGTGTTATTTATCAAAACAAAATTATATGGCTAGCAAAAAACAGCATACAAATTATAGAGAGATGCTTATATCTTTAGGCCAATACCCATAGTGCACTGTTTTCCTTCTGAAAAACAGGTATTTATTCACATCACATTATTCTGTGAAATAAAAAAAGAATCTGGAATTTATAAACTAATTGACTGGAAATAATTATAGACAATGAAGTAATGATGCCTATTTGTTTATGCTTTTCCATATGTAACCTGACCTACATGTTTAAAAATGTAAACTTATTTTAGCATTTATTTGTAATTATACCATTATTTATGTTTCTGTCAAGTGATTTTTTTAGTGTAGTGTACTTTTTCTTTTTTGTTAAAATTATTGACAAACTAATTCTTACATGAAGACAAAAGACAGAGTACATATATATCAAGTGTCCCGTTTGCTTGTCTGTGACATTTTTAAAATATCATTACTCTACATGTGTGCCATAACACATTAATCATTCACCATTAAATATATAGATCTGTCACATGATGGCAGATTTGGTAAATCCATTCATGCCCATTTCCTTATCATAGTGTAACCTCATGAACAAAGACTAACAGAAGATTTTTAGACAAGCACCATTTCCAAGAACACCAGTGTTTATTGCCACCAAGCAGGTACAGTATAAACAATAGCAACAAATATACTAATCTTCTTTCTTGGAAAGCTGGGAATGGAGCCACCATTTGACCCAGCTATTCCCCTTCTCGGTCTATTCCCTAAAGACATAAAAAGAGCATGCTACAGGGACACTGCTACATCGATGTTCATAGCAGCACAATTCACAATAGCTAGACTGTGGAACCAGCCTAGATGCCCTTCAATGGATGAATGGATAAAAAAAATGTGGCATTTATACACAATGGAGTATTACTCTGCATTAAAAAATGACAAAATCATAGAATTTACAGGGAAATGGATGGCATTAGAGCAGATTATGCTAAGTGAAGCTAGCCAATCCCTAAAAAACATATGCCAAATGTCTTCTTTGATATAAGGAGAGTAACTAAGAACAGAGTAGGGTCGAAGAGCATGAGAAGAAGATTAACATTAAATAGGGATGAGAGGTGGGAGGGAAAGGGAGAGAGAAGGGAAAATGCATGGAAATGGAAGGAGACCCTCAGAGTTATACAAAAGTACATACAAGAGGAAGTGAGGGGAAGGGGAAAAATAATATAAGGGGGACAAACAAATGTCAGTAGAGGGAGCAGAGAGAGAAGAGGGGAGGGGAGGGGAGGGGAGGGGAGGGGGGATAGTAGAGGATAGGAAAGGCAGCAGAATACAACAGACAGTAGTATGGCAATATGTAAATCAATGGATGTGTAACTGATGTGATTCTGCAATCTGTATATGGGGTAAAAATAGGAGCTCATAACCCACTCGAATCAAATTGTGAAATATGATATATCAAGAACTATGTAATGTTTTGAACAGCCAACAATAAAAAATTAAAAAAAAAATATACTAATCTTCCATGTACACTCAAACCACTCAGAGTGGGTCTGTACTATAGAAATTTTATCATTTTGTTCTGAAAAAATGAACTAGCAAACAAATGACTTGAAGAATCATTCCTAGAGACAGAACACTGTTCCTCTTTGTTCATTATCTCCAAATACAATTATTCTTGTGCCATGTACGTTACTTCCATTGTACAAAATTGAATTGAAACAATTCCTGCCCTCAAAGAGTTTATAGATTGGTGAAAGAGAAAGATAATAGACAATTTTAATACAATATATTGTGCAATATAAAGTAGTTATGCAGAGCCATGTGGTAAAAGTACATCCCTTTCTCCAAATACCCATTTTGCATCCACTGATTCATATGGTGGCTAAAGAAATTCTGACTAGATAAAGCAACTTGAGCTGCATTTACAATTGGTGTTTAGTCTTATCTGAATGTTGAGGGGAAGCCAAAATCTTGAGTAGGTATTAAAATATCCCCAGAGGAAGGAATGTATCATATGGACAACTATTTGGAAGAGTGAGCAGATTCCACTGGTAAGAGTATCAGGGGGGAGGAATGGCTTAAAGTAAAACATTGTGCCTGCTACTATTCAGACTCGGCAAATGTAGTGGTATGTGTGTGCCTTAGACAAAGGAGGATCCTTGATCAAGTGAAATAAGTCCATAGGCTATGCAGCAAGTCAGAGCCCCAGCAAACTTCCTGTAAACACCTCTCAGTGAGAGTAAACCCAGAGAAGGGACAGTTCTCTGCTCACCGTAGCCGGGACTGCTAAGCAGCTGAAACCAACCCAGGTCCTTGTAGCACTAGGAAGGTAGTTTTAGTGGCCATGAACTCAGAGCAGTCAAAACCAGTTCTCTAGATCACTAGAGATGAGCCCAGAGCCATATCATGAAGTTTGTGTACTCTATGAGGAGTTTGTACTTCATCCCAAAGGCTTTTGAAGGATTTCAGTAAGGACACAGTTTATGTGTTAGGACACTTGGTTGGTGGTTTTGAGAACAGAATGGAATGAACTAAGGCCTGAATGTCTATGCCTGGCCTGTATTAGCCAGGTGACACAGCATGGCCCTTTGCTATCTTGGCACAGATAAACCAAGATAACACAAACAGATTTCAGAGGGGAAAAAAATGAGTTCATTCACCAGGGATGTCCCAACCAGGAGATACATGGAACCATTAGAGGATCACATTGAGCAATGAAAACATGACTTATAAAAATTTTAAATGTCTGTTTGTGGGAGGAGTTGAGGAAAATAGCACAATGGTTTAGAAATTGTGTTTAAAAGAAAGATTGCAATAACCACACACATTTGGAAATTCCTACAAAAAAGAAAAATTATATATTACATTTTAACCTTTAAATGTCACCAGAAAGCAATCATTACAGTAAGTAGATTATTCAAGAAATGAAGTAAACACCTAAACAATGGTTTCTCAAGAAATAGCCAGGACAGTGACCCATTTGGAAGACCATAAGTTGTATATAAAATACCCCAAACTGCATAAGACCTCTGATCACCAAAGCCTTCACCTTGTGAATCACTCTTACTCATTTAAGTTCTGCGAATTTTCACATAAAGCAGTCCTTTCCAATGAATAGTATGGGCTTGAAAATAAAGGAACACACTTTTGAAAATATTTTCTTGTGATTCATTCCTTTCCACAAACTACAACTACTTTATCTCAATCTTTGAGATGATGAAATATGCACGTTGCCAAAGACTCAGAAGGTATTAGCCATAGTTAAGACAAGTTAAGATGCTACTTGTGTGACACTAAAATGCAATCCATGGATTCAGTGAGCGTAGCACTAAGAAAAATTTCAAAAGGTAAAATACAGATTTTTAGATTTCCACATCATTCTAGCTTCATGGAGGTTGTTGAAATGAAAAACTTCCATCTATATTTCAATAAAAATATTCAGTTTTCAGTTACTTATTAGGTCAAATATTCTAGTAATCTTATATTTCTCCATAACTTGTTTATCAGGGGAAGTATTAACAATATTAAGCATAGGGATACCCAAATGAAAATTATGCCCTCAATCCATCAGGAGTTTTATTGAGTCTAGATCCATTTTCATGACAACATTAAAAAAAAAAATTCTGTGACCTGCCTTGCATCTGCTGTTTTAAAATAACTTCACAATAATGTACGATTTCTATTCTTATTTTGTTGAAACCACTGGCAGTTTCCCAACCCGTAAACAAAAACAGCATTCTAGAAACCACGAGACATCAAGTATGCAATTTCCTTCCCTAATACTTGGTCTAAAAGAAAGACTACACTTGCACATTTACTGTAACCATTGTACATGCCTTCATATTCTACCACCATCTAGTTAAATTCATTTTTAATGAGTCACATCATGAAGCACTATATATTTTTGTTGCTAAATTTATTAACATATACTTATGGGAATATAGTTATACAGTTCTCCTTGTGGTGTTTGTGCTTGGACTAATTTTTGCTAATTTTCTTTTGTTTTTCCAAAGAATATTTTTGTCTCTAAACCACAAGAATTACCTTTGATGTGGTTATCAAGAAAGAATTCAAGCATTTTGGTATTCTTAGGAATTTATGCTTAATATGTATTATCCATACACTTGGTTTAGTCCCACGCATCAGCAACAGAGGGCAACAGGTATAATGAATGTAGCATGGCAATAGGTTAACACTTAGATTCAGGATCTGTAGTGTATAACAATGAAGCAAATGGATCCATGTTTCCAGCGAGGATAAGAACACAGTAATGAAGGCAACAAGAGACAACAGAAATAAATTAAGCTTTGATTTAGTTTGAATCAGAGTTTTATGGAAAGTTATTTAACCTCTCAAAATATCTTTCTTCTGATGGTAAGAGGATTAAGTAAAATAAGCTTGAAAAGTGCTTATTCTTGGGCACATTAAAAAAAGAACATTAAATAAAAGCTACAAGTTAATAATTTTATTATACATATCCATGAGTATTTTATATGTAAAGCTATATGTATTCATACCATGTAATGCAAGTGTATATACATATAAAACAAGCTGTACTTGCACTCACAAAAGTCTACAGTGGAGCAGAATTATGTGAAGACCTGAGTTAGATAAAGTATAGAAAGACCTTATTTTCCTATTAAG